GAAAACGAAGCGTTTGAGAGAGGCGGGGGGATAAAGGACCTACAATAATGTACAGTATTTGAAAAATAATGTGTTTTTTGAACATTAAAACATGTCAACATATTCTGTTACACCAAATACACAAAATAATGATCTTTTAAAAAGTATCATATGACCCCTTTAATAAAACACACCTGATTCAACTCATCAATTCATTAGTAAAAACTCCTGAAATGGGTGTGTCAGATAAATAAGACATGCAAAAAGTGCAGTGTTGGGAGTACTCCAGGAATATATTGGGAACCACTGGTTTGGAGAATGGATGAATAGTTCATACTGAGTTCCCCGACTTGTGATTGCAGACTTTGGTATCTAGGCAAATCCTGAGCAAAGTTTTAGACATTGCTGACAAGTCTTCTGAAATTCAAGAGGAGATGAGAGATTATTCAGGTATTTTTTTTCTCAGGAGAACCACCAAATGCAGGATATTTCTACAAAAGTCTCCATTTGAGTTAATGTCATTGCTAAGAGAAACAATTTAAATCTTATGGAGATCTCATTTGTAATTCTTCTTTCCAACTTGAATGTAAACTCTATGAGGCCAGAGTGTGTGTGCTGTGAAATGCTTGAAAACAGGTAAGCTCCACTGTTATAAGATGGCATTTGTACTGAAGACACTTCCAAAAGGCTATCCGTGAAGGTCATCATCACTATGGCAACAGTATGCAAGCTACGGACGTTAGCGCTCCAAGCCTGATCTCCCTTTGAGAGCAAGCAAGATCCTACTGAGTCTCTATAACCTTGTTCTTTTTCCAGTGTCCTTTCTCTCTTTATGTCACAACAGCTCTAAGCACATTTTCAATTTTGCTTCACCTCAGGGCACTGGCACCAAAAAGTGTTAAAAGCAAATTACCGTCCACTAAACTCATCAATTTTGTAGCGAACTCTGTAGGATGCTATTAAAAGTCTTTGCGCATACAACTTTAGGGCACGGAAAACAACTTTAAAGTGTAATGCGGCTAATTCATCTAGTCATTTCAAGCCCGATGGGACAGACTGTACCAATCCCTGCACAAAGACCAGCGATTGGAAACAGCCTCTGGCAGAAGGAGTCGCTGTCATCAATCTCAATGATCCTGAAAAAGCCACTTTCTTCCTTCTCGGCAACTCTCGGAGGCACTGTATATTTTCATAAACATGTCGCACCAAAACCTCTCAAGCACCTTGGAGAATAATATCAAGGACTAAAGTTGGACGTCTCGTCATCAAGCCACTCAAACCATGATGGCATGGCGGCAGTCCGATGGCTAGTCAATGCTGGTTAGTTTTGAAATTGCTGGAGTTTTTTAAGAGGGAGGGTTACCTGTGTACAAGGAGATGTAGGCGGAATCGATGACCTCGTACTTGAGTCCTGGCAGGAAAGGGCGCCACTGTAATAGAGACAAAGAGAGACGTTTAGAGAGAAACTAGACTCAAGTCTCATACAGCACAGCCACGGTTGGCCAACAGACCATTCTTAGACTGCATGATGCATATTGCACACCAAACCGGCAAGATCCGGCTGAAATCAGCAGTTCTAGCAATTTCTGGGAATCAGGGCACATGGGTTTTATCAGTCCACCAGGAAATCATGTTGCGTTTAGGTACCAATTGAATGCAACAAGTGCTTTTGAGAAACAATCAGTTGCAGGATTTGATGAAGCAGTTGATGAAGTTGATGAGGTTCATGCTATTCAGTTGTTTGAAAGATACTCTAGAATTTTGTAGGAGACACTTGAGACAGCACTTTTCCACCTTCAGGCAGAACAGTTAGTTTTGCATAATTAAAGGGATAATTAATGAAAGAATTTTAATTTTTGGGTGAACTATCCCTTTAAGTCTGGCTTTGTACCAATAAGAGCTTGTCTATAGACCCTTTTAGTGTCGACGTCACAATTACGTCACAGCGCTAGCTGGAGGCAAAACAAAGGGAAAACTGGAGGCAGCCAATTCAAACCAGTAGAGATTCGGCTATATAAGGAGCTTAAAATATCATCTTGTTGTGATGTTGGTGTACAGGCTCCAATTTTAAATTTTATCGCACACCTGCTGCCATTGCCAGACAAAAAACCGATGACAGCTGTGGTTAAAAACGCAATAAAAAGAGCGGACTGGACAGAAACAATCGTCAAAAATGCTCGCGTTTGTAGCGTACACTTCTTATCAGAAAAGGTTAAATAAAGTATTGTCTTTTGTTGTTATGGATTATGGTTTGGGTTACGCGTCTAAAGATTTCTTATGCATCTCACAACATGCAAGAGTAGCCTATGTTGTGTATGAAAATCTGTGTGCATGTGTGTAAAACAACAAACTGACGATTTGTATGCCTTAATCATTTGTAATTGTGGCTGGAATTTTTAAGAACTTGGTAAGCAAGAATAATCAAATAGCCTACAGAAAGTTGAAAATTTGCAGTTTTTGGATTTTTTATTTCTAGAAAATATTCACATTAAAGGTACTATAATGTCACTGTAAACTTACATCATTTACAGGAGGTATACTTTAAAATAACTATTTGTCCATTAGATACATACATCTTCAAATAATATATCCAATTTCCATCACATTAAATGTCTAACTTTTTTTGTATTTTGGCCCAGTTCACTCTCACTAGCTGTAAAAATAGTTGCCTGCTGACATTGAAATATATCCATCTTCATGACTAGATAGACACAGGTGAGTTTCTCTTTATTATACACGTTAGGTTTCTCTATAGATGTGAGTCACTCAACCGGAGGTAATCCTGTCAGATCGTCCATCCATTGAGTGAGTGTGTACTGGTCGGCCAGTCTGGTTTCGTCAGTTATAGTTAACGTTTTCAAATAACAATTGCTGTCACGGACAGTGAGTGACCTTACATATTCAGGTAGAATCGGGTTTTCTCCAGTCATTGTTAAAAAACAAGCTAACAAAACTTCATAGCTAGCGTTAGTGAAGCGGTCAGGGGAATCTTTCTGCCTCCACCTAAGCTCCGCCCACAGAAAAACGTCACATTGTTTACTAACGGAAAAGGGGTCTATACAATTACAATTTCTTTCTGCACTGGGGTGCTGCAAAATCAGCTATTTAGCTAGCCATGCTTAGAACGTGTGGAACAATAAGAAATCATATCATACTTAACCGTGTCCTAATAAAACTGCTACTGGTAACGTTACTTGCTGCCCTCATAACCATTCAGCCTGGACCTAGATTTGAGTGAGGCCCAGAAAGCGATAATCATTTCAACAGAGATGGAACCCTCCATGAGTCTGGGTCTTTTGCATCAGTCAGAGGGTTCTCTTCTTGTCTAAGTGGGTGGTTCTTTATGCTGGCAAATCTATGCCAAAAAGAACCGAGTGCACCAGTTATGTTTATGCACACAGTAAATTGCTTCCGCAAGAGGATAACAGATCAACGCGTGGGGAAACGGGAGCCTGCGAGCTCTTTTTAAACACTCGCGCACGCATCACATCACCTGTGCGCGCAATACAAGCCCTCGCGAGTGAGGATATGGCTGTTTCTCAATTCCAAGAACGTAAAGAACGAACTTGTGTTCTTGTGGAGAACGGTCTTGCCAGGCTACATTGAAAGAACGAACTAGGAAGGACGCGAGAACACAGAACACATCTTTGTGAGAATTGAGATGCGCTGTGATCTTGCGCTCAACTGACAGAACGTTATAAGGAGCGAGACACAAAAAATAACGCATAACATCACAAACTAATGTCATATTAAAACATTTATTTCAGATTATTATAGAGAATACTTCCATAGTATTGATATTATTATTTTTATTTTACCATATGTATTTGTAAAAATGATTAGGCTTAGGCATGTATATTTAATGTTAGCTATATTTTGTCAATGTTCAAATTATCATTGTTAAAAAAGATTTACCAATAAAAAGCATGACAGGCTTTTTTCCAGGTCTTTATCGCTTTATTAAAATTATGCAAAACAAAATGACAATGTTTACTTCCATGAGCCGTCGCATATTCACAGGCTTGCAAGCTTACAGGCTTCCGTACGTCTCCCGCCCGCAGCGTCTTTGGGATTTCTAACGGTTCGATCAAAGCCACTACAAAGAACTTATACTGACTTGAATGCAGCAAATAACACTCCTTGGTCTCCCCTCACTCGCCCTTATGTAAAAAAATTAATAAATGAAATATATTTACAGACATACAATTTGTGTTTTTCGTTTATTTCTTGTTACTATGCACACCTTGACGGTAAACCACATTTTTTAACTGCTTCTGAGAAGAAGTGGTAAGCTGTTGATGCCTGGTTGTTATTTGCTGCATTCAAGTACATAACCTGAAAACATAAAGAAAATACAAACCAATTTGGGATTTACAATTATGTACACTTACAATTATTTAACGGGCAAGCATATAGTGGTAATATAGTGGTGAACTACAGCTAATTTGAGTTATAGCAACAAGTTGACTATTAGTTTTATTTTATTTGTATTTTGTGAAGTGAATATTACCCAAAGCATTTTGTTGTATAAAAAAAAATCAAATATAACAATTTTGGTAGATTTTCCATGCTAATAACCGTGAAAACGTGTCATTACAATATATATAAAGGGTTTATGTGGTGCTTTATCTTCGTAACGTCACAAGATTGCAATCACTAGTAAACGGAAAAATTTATGTTAATAAACTTTCTGCTAAAGATCTATTCTATTGACAAAGCATGCAATTCATTTCATTAAAACAGCCATATTATATTTATTAAAAAATAAATAAAATGACAACTTACATGCATCTGGTCCGTTGATAAAGCCATGTCTCCGGTCAAATGTGAATTATGCATCGCCTTTTCACAGGCGTCCAATCACAGCTGACTTCCGCAAAAGGGGAAGTAACCAATGGCGTTTGAGATTACAATTAAAACAGCAAGCCCGCCCCATGACTGCCGAAAATAAAAGTGTTCGTGCGGGCAAAAGCAAGCTGGTGAAAAAATACGGAGCGCGAGAATGAGGGGGGATGATCACTGCGCGTGCGATGAGACATATCCTCGCTCACGAGGGCTTGTATTGTGCGCACAGGTGATGTGATGCGTGCGCAAGTGTTTGAAAAGAGCTTGCAGATTCCCGTTTCCTTGCGCGTGGATCTGTTATCCTCTCGCGGAAGCAATTTAT